TGTCGTCAGACTAAGCATCAGTTCCAGTTAGAATTATTTCGGTCTTTCTGAATCCCGACAGGATGGTTTCGGTGTCACTGAAGTCCAGGCTTTGTCCATCAATCCAGTGACTTCAGGAAAGTTGCATGAAACTGTTGAAGTTGTGTTCTCCATCCCCGCTTTCCGCCAGTCCCTCACAAGTTTCTTTCTGCTGCTCGATTACCGTTTTCGACTGAATATTTCACTACTTACAGCAGGACAGAGGCTCTTTCTGCAGGAGACATGCGCAGTAGAGTGAAGTGGCAGTGGTACAGGAGGAACAGATACGGACACACAAGACTAGAGCCTGTCGCGGCTTCAGTGTGAAAATTTTAATATAAGTCACACCTGAGTATAAGTCGCAGGAAACGCCCAAACTAAGGCTACGTTCACACTGCAGCCTGAAGTGACACAAATCTGATTTTTTGGCCCCTGTGTGACCTGTATCTGATCTTTTATTGACAGTCTGAACGACACAGATACGAGTTTTTCAAATGTGACCCAGAACACTTGGATATGTGCTCCTAAAACCGATACATATCCGATTTTTTGACACGCGACTTCAGTCTGAACGGCCAGGTCGCATTCAGCTGACCTACATGCTATCAACAAGCCACAAATGTACACAAACATTCTTCTCTTCATACAAAAATATTTAATGAACTCCGTGTCACTGAAGCGAAGCACATCGCAATCCCACCACTCTTGGCTACATCTCCACATCCACACGTTCCTTTCAACAGACAAGTTGTACATGTTCTGGCTCCGGTACGAGAGGAACTTTAAAATGTATTAAAAAAACATTTTTTTAATAGAAATAAAGTGGAATAATCACATACGAAAATATGTTTCCAAATACTATACATAAAAAGATCCAGATCTTCGCAGGTGAACTCTCTTTGTGTGGCGTCGGTCATATTGTAAGGTTGGTTGTCCGCACAGAGAAAGCAGGTGGAGACGAAAGACGCTTCAAACACCACAAAAATACATATTTAACCTTTAAAAACACTTTCAAATACATCTGTGATATACTGGAATTCATATGTAACTATGGCAACTATGGAATCACCTTACCTGACCTGATCACATGACAGCACCTGGCAACACCTGGCGTCACCTGGCAACACGTTCCATCCACATTCTATTTCTATTTTATGACATCATAAAGCTTCACTTGTTGATTTATATAAGTATAGCACAAGTTCCAGTGTAAAATCACTTCTATTCAACCTTCGACCGAGACACAGAGACTCAC